TGAAACCCCTCCTAGACTCCTACACCTTTGTTACCCCTTCGGTGGTTGTCCTGGGCGATTGCATAAGTTACCTTTTCAAATCCACCCCCCTCACGATTATAAAGTCGATTAAATATATATTAATAATGGGTTGGCAGGTTGGATCGCACTACGTCTAAGCCAATTTCAATCATATTAGTTTATGAGTTGACAGCTTGACAAGTTAATTATTGTTGATGTGATAAACAATTTAATATAATTAACTATAAGTGTGGTGTCTGATTGGTTTGAGCTTGAATCCAAATGTCAAAAGTACCAAGAGGTCTCAAGTTCAAATCCAAGGAAGGAATAAAAATCCTCTTGTATCCACAGAGATTCAAATGTGGTGACTTCAAACTATCTGCAAAACAAATGGTCGTCTGGGATTAGACTGCTCGCATACTGGGTTGGATATCCAGGTTATTTAAAAAAATGCAATTTAATATTTTTGGATTTATAACTATAAAATGATTACACAAGGGGAGTGCCTTTAACAAATTCCGTAAAAGCCAAGCCCACAAGACCCAACATCGCAAACCGCCCATTCCACAGCTCTGCATCCGACGTCATTATCCCCTTCGACTTCGACTGCACGCTAACCCCTTTCAACAACGGCACCAACGACGCCACTGACAACACCACGCTCGTCACCACAAACACCGTCACGCCGCCGTTGGAGATCTGTGTGAACACATCTTGACCACTGCTCAGCTCCACAGCCATTGTCGCCACAAACCCTATCATCGCCAATCTCCCGTTGATTCTTTCCGGTGCTGGTCCACTGAACGCCAAGACGTCGGTGAATTTGGTGCTGACCTTGGGAGCAGGTGGCGGTGGAGGAGTGGCCAGTGGTGGTGGTGGTGTTTTGGAATTGGTTTCAGCGTCGTTTGGTAGCTGAGACGACATGCATCTGACGGAGAAGACAGAATTCTTGTTGAAGGAAGGAAGTTGAGTGGCGGAGAGACGTGTGAACGGAGTTGCCATGAAGACTGAAGTGGCAGCCATTAGTGATTACAGAAGGATCTGAGGGAGGAGGAGGAGGAGGAGGTGGTGGTGATGATGGTGAAGAAGAAGGGTTTTATAGGGGAAGGGGGTGAAGACAAAGGAGTGGATATTTAGAGGGCCACGTTAGTGAGCTTTTGGGGCCTGATGACGTGGAGTTGCAAATGGCCGGTGAGACGGGGTTGTGGTAAATGGAGCCTCTACATGGTTCATTTCACTAGCTGTGGAATGTGGATGATGGAACCTTCTAGACTACTTATTTTAGTCCCGTTAGAATATTCGTTTATTTAATAAGTAAATATTTAAATATATATATATTTTTTTTAAGATATGACTTGTTACGATAAATTTTATATCCTATATAATATAAAATTATATATAAAAACATATGCTTTGTATTATTATTCAATAAATCAATGACATTAAGAAATTTAAATTAAATTGTATATTAAAAAACCAATAAATAAGACGTTAAAAAGATAAGTAATGTTAAATATTGTGTTACAAAAACCGTGCATTACCCCATGGCGTGCCTCAAACATAAAATGGCGTGAGACATAAGCCTTAAGCCACGACACGCCATGGCAGCTGTTGCGGCGAGCTTTTTCCAACATTGATTTATATACAAAAACTAATCAACTTTCCCATATTGAATTACTAAGTTCCTAAACTTTTTTTAAATGCATAAATTATTAAACTTTCTCATTTGAAGGATTAAGTTCCTGAACTTTTTTCTAAATAAATAAATCATTGAATTTTTAGAAATTGGTTAATTACATCATTTTAAGCCACAAAGTCTATTTGTAACCAGATAGAAAGGTTTTTAACTAAAAAAACATATTACTATTAGGGCCGCTTATCAAACGCTTATCCGGGTAAGCGCTTAACAAATCACATTACCTTACCGGATGAATATGGTGAGGATCAAGAATCTTACCCGGTAAGAGGAAGACAATGACCGAGAGTCTTACCTTGTAAGTGAGGGTGACGACTCTTACTATGATAAGCGCTTATCGGGTAAATTGTTGCATATAATGTCGTTTTAGTGGACTAAAGTCTTACCCGATAAGTAAGTGATAGTGTTAAATTTTACCGGTAAGCGCTTATCGGGTAAGTGTTTGGTAAACGGCCCCTTAGTGTTCTCAAACTATACACTATTCAAACCCCTTGCACATAGTGTCATCGCTCCCCCTAGCCAACCCTTTCTGCCCACATCGTCTTCCATTCTTCATCACTGTCCATTGTCAATCTCCCTCTTTCTGATATGTTTTTTTCTTTCTTTTTTGATCTTTTCTCTTTTTTGATAGTCTATACGTACACCATTATATTGTTGGACAAAAAGAGAATCAAAAGACAACAAAAAAAAAAGGGAGATTGATAGCAGGGAGCAACGACGACGATAGATGGTGATGTAGAGCGGACGACGATAGGCGGCGAGGAGGAACGATGGCGTTGGGTGCGAGGGATTTGAAAATGGTAAAACTGATATAAGTTTTTTTAATTCTAAACCTCTCTAGTCGGGTACATGTAGTTTTTTTTATTTAAAACGATGTAGGTAACCAATTTCTAAAGTCAGACTTTATTTATTCAAATAAAATCAAGGATTTAATCATTTAAAATGAGAAAGTTTAATAGTTTATTCATCCAAAAAACAGTTTGGGACTTAATCATTCATAACTACAAGTTTACAGAGTGTTTTGAACTTCTTATTTATATATTGCTAAGTGCATATCTACCTACTAAGAGGTTGTTTGTTTACCTCTTAATAGTTCCATTAAGAGGCATCTTCTAAATCGTTAAAAGATGAATCTTATTTGGTAAAAAAACATGTGCCTCTTAATGAATCTAAAATCATTTGTACAATTTTGTATCTTAGGTCTCCCTTAACTATTTAGCGCCTTAATTTTTCTCCTAACAATTACCGAACAATTATATTTCATTTTGCATTATATCATAATAGTCTCTTATTCATTCTGACTACCTAATCATTATATACCAAACCATTCAGCAACTGTCAAACAACTCATAACTTTCTCTTTACATATATTAATATAATGATTTAGTTTTTACATTTTTCCTAATGTATGATTTGAACTGATTTTAATTAAAAAAAAAAACTAGACGTGTATATAGCAACACCCTAATGATAACGTGTTAATATCAATTTAAATGCTTAAATAAATACTCATCAAGTGTAACGACATAAATAAACGTTAGTTGTGTATTAATACGATACAATTGGATCAAAAGGTCAATGCTAGCGGTTGCGTAAACGGTAGAGCTAAACGTTTTTAAAAAAATTAAATGTTATCGAATGTGAAAAATATGTATTAATATTTGTCGTATATCTATACTATATTATAAAGTATTTGACAAAAATTCTTAAAACTCATTTTTTATGCATGAAGTGCTGTTTATTGATGCATATTACTTAAAATTCATGATTATAAGTAAATTGTGTGTAAGTACGACTTATTAAAGCTCCATGTTTGAATTCGTGTAACCAAATGCGGATAAACATAATCAAATAGAGGATAAACATCTCATTTTATAATATAAAAAATCTAAAAATATAATTAAGATAATTATTGAGTTCTAACAAAATAATTATTTATTATCTTTACAAAAAAATTATTATTAAATAAAATATAAATTACTTTGTTTTTGAACCTAAACTAAATTATAATTAAAAAAAAACTGAATTAAAAAATTACATAAAAAATGAAAAAATTTAAAAAAATTAATTTGATACTAATATTGATATATTTTTTTCAAATTTCTGTGATATCTTCAAATTTTTGTTTTATTCAAAAATAAAAACATTATCGTTTTTTTCAAAATCACATAAGACCATATTATAATATCGACTGAGATAAAGAATAAAACAAAATATTAAAATTAAGATGTATCTCGCTGCATTGCGTGTTCCAGTAAATATAAATATAAATATTATATCCTTTAAAAATTATTATTGTAAATCAAGAACGCAAATTTACTGTAATTAGTTATTTAAAATAATTAAAATATATGTTTAAACAAACTATAAATTTTAACCATCTATAATAATAAAATGTACTATAATCTTTTTTATTTTTAAAGGGAACATTGTTTTTAAATAGACTATTAGAGTACTTGTGCAATACAGTGAGATGCATCTTGATTTTAATGTTCTGTTTTATTCTTTTGTCTCTGTCGATATTATAATACGATTTTATGTGTTTTTAAGAAAGCAATATTGATTTTATTTTTGAATAAAATATAAATTTAAAGATATCACAAAAATTTGAAAAAAAATATATCATTGTTAATATCAAATCAACTATTTTAAATTCTCATTTTTTATGTAATTTCTTTAATTTATTTTTTATTATAATTTAATTTAAGTTTAATCATGAAATAATTTATTTTTGGTTTATAAATATAATAATTAAATATTCTGTTAGAACTCAATGATCATCTTAATTATATTTTAGATTTTTTATATTTAAAATGAAATATTTATCTTGTATTTGATTATGTTTATCTGTAGTTAGTTACACGAATTCAGATGTGGAGCTTTAATAAGTTATACTTACGCACAATCTACTTGTAATCTTGAGTTTTAAGTAATATATATTAATAAACAGTATTTTATGCATAAAAAGTGATTTTTGAGAGCTTTTATCAAATCCTTTATAATATAGTATAGATAATCTAGTTCGAAAAAAATAATTTATAAAGAGTAAAGTTCAATTTTAACCTTGTAATTTTTAACTGATATCGTCATTTGTTATTCTCATTATATTAAAACAAATAAAAATATTATACTTTAACTTTAAATTGTAAAATAAAAAGAGAGAGAAAAAAAAACGGAAAACAAAAGGTGGTGTTTATTCTTTTTCTTTTAAAATTTAACATTAAAAATGAAAGGTGCTGGTTAACAGAAAAAGTTAACAATCGTTAGATAAATGGACCAAAACCATTGAAAATTGACAAATATATGAGATTAAATCTAAGTTTTTAAAGTTTAAGAAAGATATTCGTTAAATATCTCAAATTTGTCTTTGTAAAATATCTCAAATGCTATAATTGTCTTTGTAAGATGCTAAAATTTAGGTCTCACTTTGTTGGATCTCCAAGGAATAATACCAAACTTTGCTACTACACCATTGTTGCGTAACACAATTGGTTTTAAGTTGGTATACTTGCTGCTACAGATGGTTTGATGAGATGTCAGCGTTAGCCACCATATCGAACCTTGAGCAGCTCTGGCGGTTCTTCTTCCATTAAACCAGAACCGGCCGTCGCCAAGTATTTCCGAAGGGTCGTTTTACGGTCCGCAAGATACGTATGATCCAAGAAGTTTGCATATGCTTCATCACCAAGATTCTTTGCCGCCAACACGCTACATGAAGAGATTTCATCCGTCTCAAACCAAGTGATTAACTTTACAACTATCGTATTAAGTTTTTTATTGTAAACAAGCCATCGTTCTTGCAACAAAAAAAAGGTGGAATGAATACATTTTGTATGAATAGGTGGTTTGGACAAGTTATAGAATTACGAAGGCAAAAAGAATATTCGCGCAATATTTTGTCTAAAATCACTCGTTCTTTTTCATTTTTTTTGTAACAATGGTCTTTTATTAACGAAAAGCCACCCACAATGGTTCAAAGAAGGTGATTAAAGAACGGTAAGATTGAAATATTTGAAAAGCAAAAGAAATATACCGTTGTCTAAAGAAAACTTACCAATGGCGACAATATGTTCGACAAGGCAACACATCATCTTGCCAGATCTTCTCGATGCCAAATCGTCCATACCGCTCGTGGTATATCTCTTGGCTTCCTACAAAAAAATTGGGTAGAAGTTAGAAACAAGTCAGAGTTGGGATTGTCTTTTGAAAACATAAACATGTTGATTACCAACGAATTATGAAATCATCCACAATCGATAAATTCGTATAAGAATTCATATTTGTTTTCTTCCAACGTTGTGGATATGAAGTCGGATATTGTTATATATAGTATTCGATTCAACTAAATATTTGAACAGATTATAATTTCGAGTAATTATGGATTGCATGATATATGGACATCATAGTATAAACGTAATTAGTTATGCATAAATATAAAGAATGTCTATTCTGCAAAAAAGGGAATGATGCCACCCTCTGGAGCGCCCCCACCGTACCAGTCCCACAACCATCAAGGGGTTGTAAATCACGTGTCTTAGGGAGCAGGTGGGTGGTGACTAGAGTCGAACCCCAGACCTCCCACTCAATCTACCGCAAGAATATCTACCTCCTTATCTGCTAGACTAAAGCCGTGGGGATGTATAAATAATGTCTATATACATTATAACCAATTATGTATATCGAGTAATTAAATTTATATACAAATATCTATCATCTACTTGAACCAATTCAAACATTTTGATAGATCATTACAATGAAATCAAATAGTTATGAAGCAGTGAACATATTTTAGTTTTTCATTCCCACATAGGTACCTTAATCGGAAAGATACATCATATCTACATATTTCAGGCTAAAAATGCAGTCAATATTCTATGGAAGCTAAAACGGATTATAGGTAGCCTATGTTTATTCCGTCAATCCAATCTATACTTCACCTTATTAGTGTCAAAGGTTTACTATTTACCCCATATCAACTATCTTCTCTAACTCAAAGTATCGAAAGTAACCTCTAATAAAAACTCAAAACTTACTGCTATTATACAAATTTGTTCAGAAGTGGAGTACCTTTGCATCTATTCTGGAAATATTCCTCATCACTATATCGAGCACAGAGTACCTGTATTAATGACCAAAAAGAGTGGTCTTATAAGCAGATCAAAGAAATGTAAATTCCAGAAAATATTCTTTTTTATAAATAATTTTAGTCAGGTGACACTCACAGCGGGCATAGCATACTGGTTGCCTTCTAATGTTTCAGGATGGACCTTTACAACCAGCATGTCAGTTCTGTGTTAGGATAAAGCACAAAACTGGGGAACTTGAGATGGACTTTTATGCAACTTACAGCTAAAAAACGGAACTCGTGCTCCCTCTCAATGTAGGATGGAATCTGACCACCGTAATAGTGAGTTCTATTAGTACAATCATCAACTTTTTTATAAATTATTGTACCAAAAAAGATAATGTTCTAATGAATTTCAGTACATACCTCTGACTTTTTTATCTCAAAAACAGTAACTATAAGTGATTCACCTTCACATGGCTCCACACTCAAGCTTGAAACTTCCTGAAAACATACAAAATTATCATCTCATCACCAAATGTAATTGATTTTCCATCTCGAACAAGAAAAGTTAAGAACTCAAAGAAAAAACACAACTTAATGACCTCCGTTCCAGAAAAAGGAGATACATTTGACATTTGAGATTGAACAGACTGCTTTTAAACTTATCAAAATGGACTTGATTTTTGTTTTCTGAAAAAGGATAATTTCTTATTTTCTTGAAAATTTTGGTAATTACCTTCTATTTGTACCATATACTACAATCAGTAGAAATGAGATGCATTTCAACAAGTATACTTGTTGGGCATATGTCGCATTCAAAGTAAAGATCAAAGCATTGCACTTGCTGATTCAAGCGAAATTATGTCATGAAAACCATGTTCATGTTAGTATTTTGCCCAAAAGTCAACTGTTAGATGATTGTACTTCGTAACCTTGAGTTATGGTTTCATTAATACAGGCATTGTCTAATTATTATGTTTCATTCTAATACTCTCTCTGTGTATGATGAACATGTTAAAAATCCTAAAATGTTTTTTTCTTAAAAATCATTAGTCAAGTACTACATTAGACTTGGTTGAAGTAGCACGATTGAAACTAGCATACATAGAAACTCATATGGATGTTATAGGATACAAGTTGGTGAACTTGTGTAACGGACAGACCCACCATGAAAAAACTTCATGGGATACCATACGAGTGTTGGTGTTTCCCATATGAACATTGTATGTAACTTCCTTTGACTTCATAATCTCAAAATCTATTATGTGCAAGTCATATACTATGATGCTAGATCTAATCACAATGTAACATAGTGATATGATGGTGGTTGAGTGTATGACAAAATCATATTAATTTTGCTATTTTGCTGCATGTATGAATCCTGAAATCCCACTAGTTTATAGTTGGTTTCTAAGACTTTTAAGATCCATGGTCAAATGCTGAAATGCGTGTATACATTTGATCAAGGATCTAAAAGTTTTGCTTGCCAGTTAGTGTTAGCATATTCAACTAAATCAAGTTTTTGGCAAATATGTAACAATCCATAAGAATTTGAGTTTGAAATGTAATCCTTTTAATTTATAAAGTTGAATTATGCTTCTTTTTCAGGAAATGAGGCACAGTAACATTAATCATCCTTATCATCATAGCAAAAAAATCCAGCTCCATTATCATTGCTTTGAGTGAGTACTCAGAATTGTGCATACGGTACCTTAGTCTCAGGCTTGGCAATTCCACGCTCGAAGAAAATGGGAGCAACATGAGCAAAAACTCGTCTAAAGCCGTTCAATTTTGCAACTCTGAAGTTGATCAGATCGGGAAATGTACTCCTGGCACTCCGCTCTAATCGCTCAGAAGGCAGAGATCATACAAAGAGAAAGAGAAAATAAAGAATAAGCTGAACTTTGATTTGAATCTCAAATTTACAAATTCAAATATTGATATATAGTGCCTATGGTCAATTTCAACTCCTAAACTGATACAGTGATGCTATCAGTACTGAACGTCTCTATCAATTTCACATATGAATTACTAGGTTAGAGATTCAAAATCTGAGTGCAGCTCGCCTTCATTACTCCTCTTTTTCTGGGAATGGAGTGATAAAAACCAGAAACCATCAACATTCAAAACAAATGACTCTAAACAATCGATAGCAATGCGACGTGTACCAGAGAGCAGGGAACCGAAGCCACAGATAGACAGCGTCTCATCGGGAGAAACAATTTGCTCGAAATCGGACTCCGTTCTTAGTTCTATCCGCTGAGATGGATTCGATTGCAGGATCTCGCCGGAAGACGACATGGTTGACTGGGCGAGAAGGAGCCTCCGGTGGTTGCGTTGTCTGAGTAGAAAGCAAGATTGTGAACGAGTGAATTGAACTGGTAAAGCGAGTGAAGTAAGATAGGAAGTGCGATCGGAGGTGGTGTCACGCCATGGCGGATTTGTGATCGGCGAAAATGGAAGTCCGATTGAAATTGCATTCATGGAGTTTCAGTTTCCTGTAGCATATGAACAGCGAGGTTCGATGGAAATCGCATCAGATAAAAACCATCAAAATAATTTTACATTTTTTCCCAAAAAAATACCCCCCTTTTATTCTCTAGAATAAATTACGTTTTTAGTCCCTAAGGTTTTTGAAAATTTCTAATTTTGTACTTATAGTTTTAAAATTATGATTTTTATCCTTGGAATTTATAATTTATCATTTTTTAGGTTTTATAGTTTTTTTTTTTCATAATGCATTCGGAGCAAAAAAGGATAGAAAAACTCAAAAACTTTCATTTTTCGCCATTTTAGAGAAACAGTTGGATTTGATGTTATAAGTTAGGCATGGAAATGAGGCACGTCCTACTGGGAGAACTTGATGTACCCAATCCGACGGGGCCGAGAATTCCATACAAAACCGGGGATGGGGTAGGGTAACGTAATCCTTGACTCACCCCATCTTCGTATATAAAATATATCATATATTTACTAGTTGTGTATCCGCACAATACAGCGGGAGTCATGAATTTTAATGATTTTGAAGTTTCACTGGTTTTATTAGAGAAGATTTAACGATAATATAAGTTACATTTGGTCTTTACATATTAATACAATTTGAATAAATAAGAGTTATGGTTCTAATTACAGTTTATCGATGAAAAAAAATTGTATGACAGTTTAAAATCCAATATATTTAAACGACTCTACAAATGTGTTCGATTTACACTAAGAGCAAAGAATCCAGAGATCGAGAGCGAGACCGAGAGTTATAGAGCAATTGAATGGGAAATGAATGAGATAACTTTTAATAACTTATGATGAATATCAATTTGAATTTCACATTGAGGGATAGGGAGAAGACAAAAATATGAGAAGGTGAAGACATAAGTGAAAGGTGTCAAAAGTATCTTGGGAACATGAAAAGAAGATGTAATAATGTGCATTGGTAACTTGTGATATATGTTATTTTAACTGTAAATTAAGAGATTTTAAGACCAAATGCATAAAGTAGTACTTAATACATTATGAGTTGTTTTTAAAACTTTATGCATAAATGTATAGTATTTTGTGCATTAAAAATTGTTTTTAAGACTTTTGATAAATCTGGTTTATAAGGTAATATAAATTATTAAATACTTATATACAAAAAGAATTAGATTTAGTATTATTTTTTTTAGATTCAGATAGATAGAGTATTTTGGTTTTTCTTCTTATATACATTTTTTTCTAACTTGATTTAATTTTTTAAGATAAGTGTTTGATCAAACAATAACGTCTGATATTGTGATTTACTGATTTTGTTAACATATGAATATTTGATACTCCATAAAAACAAAATTTTGGAAATACGTGAGATTTAAACATTGATCGTTTTGGATCGAATGTGTTTTTTAAAATATATCACATAAACAAGAAAAAGATCTCCGATTCCTCATTTAGACGGGGATGGGGATTTGATCGTATTCCCCAACAGCATTCCCATGCCTACCAAAAGCTTACATAAGAATTGGAGGACCCAATGGAACATACAGGTTCTAGAAGGGGGTAAATTGCAAATCCTAGAATTCAAAAATCAAAATCACATGTTTTCCGTAAGAAAACCCCCAATTTATTGGCGCTCAATTAGAACCCTAGCTCTGTGATCCGTCTTCTCTTTTGTTTATAATCTCGCTATCTTCGCTACTGCTGTTCAATTTTTAGCATAGAGGCGCATTGGGTTCTAATTTCGGTATTCGAATTCAGTTTAGTTGCAACTTTTAAGCATTTTTCTGATGCCTAAACGGAAGGCGAAAAGGGCCACTAAGCAGTCTAATTCATCTCGTACTCGGTGTGACCTTGCTACAAAAGGAGCTCCAGAAGAAAATGTATTCATTGATCAAGAAGGTATCTGTTTTTCTTATATTTTTTCTTAACTAATGTAGTTTAGCATTATGAAAACGTAGCAAGAACATAATTGCGTAATGATTTGGTTATCCGATTGAATTTTTGTTAAAGAAATTTATAAGTTTTGGGTCTTTGATAATGGAGCTTCGGTGTTTGTTCTAAACGACAGTTGAATCTGCTTATAGTTGGCCCCTATTGTTGAGGATCTGGGTTTCATGCTTATGGATAATTCTTGGATCGTGTATTATTGCACTTTCTAAATACTATTCGACCTTCGGTTTCACAAAATCAGTATGAGATAATCCAAGAAGTCACTCTTGTTATTCAGGTAGAAAGACTCTAGTATATCACACCCTAGATGAAGTGTTTTGCATATTTACATGAGAGATCATGGTTACAAGGTAGTTAGATAGTTAATCAAAAACTGCATGGCAGTTACAACCGCATGTGGATAAGGTTGAAACGGATTATAGGCAGGTTCAAAAGCTCCAAGTCAGAAGCCTACCCAGAAGCTATGCTCCTAGAACCCTGTAAGGGGGTGCAAACCCCTTTGAATGACGATTTAAGGTGATGGGGGTAATATTTGTGATAGTACACTCTGCACCTCCTAGCTCACATTATATCTCTCTTGTCACCTAGTTGATCCCTTGTAAATCACGATTAGTCAATTACACCAAAATGCTTGATGACACTAAAGTCACCAACACCTATCAGACGCTTTGATTAGTGAGTATATGAGGTCGTTCCAAAATTAGATATTGCATTTTGACTTCGTTGAGTAAAAAGATTTGAAATCTTGTAACATTTGAACTTGATATGCAGTTATTTGTCTTGTGGAATCAGACTTACATAATACGCACAATTGCTTGATCCTATAAACTTTAATTTCTATAAAGTAGTCTATTATCCATTAGGTCATTTAAACATATTTGGCATCCTATAATGCCGATTTTGTTATGGTAGCACCAACATTTCTTTCTAAATGACCTCTTGTTATATAGAAACATGAAGCATGTAGTGCTTATAAATTCATAGTAATCTTTCTTAAGAAGAAACGAAACACGCTGCATACGTTCTCTTAGGGCCTGTTTGTTTTTCTAAAAAAACCACTTAATTGCCTCTTATGTCTGAATCGGTCAGACGTTGAGGCATTAAGTGCGTTTGTTTTTTTTAAAAATTAAGTGCTTAAAAACTCTCAAAAGGTCTGAATTGTTTAGAGGGATCCTAAAGTCTGAAAACCTCTTATTCATTGTCGCCTACCAGAGTCTGAAATCCTCTCGTCGCATCTCTCTCAATCGATCTCCTTGAAATCGCCTTGCGTCGCCTACCGTCTTCTTCTCGATCTCTCGATTAGTTCTATCCATCTCGATCTCTCGATTAG